CCGGACACCCGCTGGGATGAAGACCCAATCGTCAGGATCGGCCTGCCACAGCGCTCAGGACTCGAGTCTTACGCGTAAGCCTTGCAAGTTCCTGATGGCGCCTCCGGGTAGTAGTGTCGAATGTCGTGGAGCTTGCCGGCTCCAGACTTGAACACGTCCGTCCTGCGACATGAGCGAGGTTTTGTGAAATGGAGTTTGCAGAGATCTTCATATTCGCACGGAGGTTTGATCCTACCATTAGTAGGTCCTACAAACAGGATGTAACAGCAAGTGGCAAGTTGTCACAAAGCCTTCATAGGTAAAGCAGGAAAAGCCCTTCCCAGCAGGCGCCAAGCTGCATGAGCATCACCGCAAGGCTCAGATTCTTTGACAATGCCCCGATGGTTGGCAGAATGTTGTGATGCTTCAGGGCTTTGAAAGCATCCAGCACGGAGCCATATCGCAGAAACTTCATTGTCATCGAGCCTCTGGTTCTGATGCTTTGAGAACACTTGCAAACTGCTGCGCGCTTCGAAGGCAGTGGCGCAGCCAAGGCACCGAAGGGTCCCAACAGCAGCATCTCCTGCAACATCGGCAAATGCACATGCCAGCTACGAGCATGTGTTCAACCCATGCCATGGTAATTGCTGTTCGAACTGAAACCTAGCGACAGAATAGGCATGCACTTGGCAAGAGTAGTAGCCTCAGACGGATCGGAATGGCACAGTGGCAGCACCAACAGCAGCAATGTCACGAGGGAGGTTGAAGAGCATGGGGTTCGCGGACATGCGCCGTGGCAGCACTTGTGCGCTCATCGTGCAGTGGTCTGAGGGCTGTTCGGACGTGATGTCGTCAGCAATACCGTCAACCTTTTTTCCAGACTTATCGTCCAACTAACTGCTGACTGTGGATGTGTGTCAGCGTGGCTTTCTGCGTTTATGAGCTTGGGAAAATTGCCCGAGCACGTGCTGTTTTCGGCGTGCAGTTTCCAAACACCAAGGACACATGCTTCATCCCGTTCAAACATTCAGAAACGGTCACCAGGCTTGTCACGCATTACTTGAAGACAGCAAGTCTCTGTGACAGTGAGACACTCCATCTAGGGGAGAAGGTCTGCATGAGATATATAGCAAGTGGGCAGTGTTTACGCCCTTGGGAAGGGAGAGTCTTCCTGCGAGAGCCTGGGAGGCTTGCCAGGCCCGGCTGCATGCACGATCAAGGCTTGATCACTTCCCGAAGCCCGAGGCAAGCGATTGGCTGAGTAGGTTGAAGACAGACAAAAACAGAGAAAACCGTCCGGCATCGGACGTCTTTGCTGCAGTGAGAAATGCCGGGGAGACGGCCTGCATCCAATTTCCTCCAGCTCGCCAGTTCAGACAGTAAGTGGGCAGTGTCTGTGCCCTTTGCAAGGGAGGGTCTGCCTTGGTGGCAGTCGATGTGCACGGCTTTCCGTGTTTACGAGTTTGGGAAAACTGCCCGAGTGCGTGCTGGCAACTACTCGGCATGCTGGTTCCAAACGCCACAGGCACATGCTTGATCCGGTGCACATATTCAGACACTGTCACGAGGGTCGTCATGCATTACTTGACTGCCCTATCGCAGCATCTTGTCACCAAAATTCCGGCAAGGGCGCGCGTGTGTGCGAGGAGGCGGCAAGGAGCAGCTGGTCATACCGTCTCCAACGTGTCCGGAATACGCCGCTCCTGATCTCCGGAATCCCAGTCAACAGCTGCTTTGTCGGGATTTTATGACGACTGACGACTGAGTGAGAGCTGCCAGGCGACACGGAAACATCGCCACAGCGCGGTTTGGGCGGTACTGCCGCTCTCCGTGACTGGCAGCCACATGCAGCCCGGCAGAAACATTTCTGGCAAGGCCAGCTGAAGCAAACTGCGCGACAATCCTACAAGCTGCGGTGATTGAGGGCAAACTCCACAGCAGAGGACAGCCTTGCATTCCGGCTTTGAGCAGAGACGTGGCGGTGCAACTCATGCTACGAAGCTCTGGACGTCGTGGAAAAACGAGTATCCCCCAGTCTGCGCTGCTGCTCCGGCATGATCACGGACAGAAGGAGAAGCGACACCCAGCCCAGGGGGCTCGCTACCTTCCGGGCGCCTGCAAGGCCACCACGGCTCTGAAGCGGCCGAACTACCATAAGCTTTATGCTCTTCCGTGGGTCAGCCGCAACGTGGGTTCTTCGGTGATCTTGATGGTCGGGAATCACGTCCAAGAGTGTGTAGACGCCCCAGTGGCGGGCAATGGCCATGTTGGGAGGCAGGGCAAGGTTGCAAGGTCGTTCGGAAAGCCGACGGATGGGGCAGCCGCGTAGCTCTAAATGTGTTGGCTTAATGGCTGGCATGGGAGGGGTAAAAGATGGACCTCCCTCTTTGCATTCTCGATCGTGTCTTGTTCTGTCCCAGACTGACTCTGGCTGCGGCAGCAATACCAGAGTGCTCAGTCAGAGCCGGCTCCAGCTTCTGGCAGACGCCGCGATGACTGCCAACATACCTTCAAAGCTCATGGTTCCTGCGCGGCCGGTGGTCTTCGCACCGCGCATTTTCGGGCCCAAGATCTGTGCTCATGTCGTCCTGCTGGGCACCTTCTGGTAACCGAAGTGTTGCAGACGGTGATGCCCAGCGAAGCCTTGCATCGAAGAACGTCCTTGTCAGCGGCGTAGTGGCGGCGTATTGGTCTCAGCAGCCTGGTGCTGCGCCGCATCTTCCCACAGAGGCAGGGTACCGACTGTAGAGTGTGTAAAGTAAAGGCTGCGCAGCTTGAGGTTCATCGGTAGCTTTCTGTGTTTACGAGTTTGGGAAAACTGCCCTAGCGGGTGCTGGCAAGTTTTCGGAGTGTCGTTTTCAAATGCCTAGGACACATGCTTGATCCGGTTCGAAGATTCAGAAACTGTCACCAGGCTTGTCACGCATTGCTTGAAGACAGCAAGTCTCTGTGACAGTGAGACACTCCATTTAGGGGAGAAGGTCTGCATCCCACTCCCTGCGGGTCACCAGTTCAGATATGTAGCAAGTGTTTGCGCCCTTGGGAAGGGAGAGTCTTCCTGCGAGAGCCTGGGAGGCCACCAGTTCAGATATGTATATAAGTGGAAAAACGAGTATCCCCCAGTCTGCGCTGCGGCGGACAATCGCAAACTTCTTTTCTGGCATGATCACGGACGGAAGGAGAAGCGACACCCAGCCCAGGGAGCTTTTCCGGGGGTTCGCTTCCTTCCGGGCACCTGCGAGGCCACCGCGGCTCTGAAGCGGCCGAACCATAAGCTTTATGCTCTTCCGTGGGTCAGCCGCCACGTGGGTTCTTCTGGTGATCTTGATGGTCGGGAATCACGTCCAAGAGTGTGTAGACGCCCCATTGGCGGGCAATGGCCATGTTGGGAGGCAGGGCAAGTTTGCAAGGTCGTTCGGAAAGCCGACGGATGGGACAGCGCATAGCTGTGTGGACTGTCATTTATGCCTCCCTCCGGGCCTAAGCACCTTTCCTTTACCTGGTGGTGGCATCTTTGGCCCAGGATTCCTGATTTTCAGTCCCAACACCCTGCCAACTGTACTGGCTTAATTCGGGATGGGGTCGCAGTCAAGGGACTTGGGCTGCTGTGCCGGGAGAGAATCCTCGCATGCGAACCTGGCTTCCACAGTTCCAGGCTAAATGTGAACTTGTCTTAATGGCTGGCATGGGGGGGTAAAAGATGGACCTCCCTCTTTGCATTCTCGATCGTGTCTTGTTCTGTCACAGACTGACCCTGGCTGCGGCAGCAATACCAAAGTGCTCAGTCAGAGCCGGCTCCAGCTTCTGGAAGACGCCGCGATGACTGCCAACATACCTTCAAAGCTCATGGTTCCTGCGCGGCCGGTGGTCTTCGCACCGCGCATTTTCGGGCCCAAGATCTGTGCTCATGTCGTCCTGCTGGGCACCTTCTGGTAACCGAAGTGTTGCAGACGGTGATGCCCAGCGAAGCCTTGCATCGAAGAACGTCCTTGTCAGCGGCGTAGTGGCGGCGTATTGGTCTCAGCAGCCTGGTGCTGCGCCGCATCTTCCCACAGAGGCAGGGTACCGACTGTAGAGTGTGTAAAGTAAAGGCTGCGCAGCTTGAGGTTCATCGGTTGCTTGTACACGACCGTGTAATACATCGTGCTTACAGATATGTATGCACATTCATCTGATTGAACGCGCTTGAAGACAATGGCAAAATTCGCTTAGTCCTTTTCGTATAGACATTGTAGTTATTGTAGTTGTATGAAGCGCAGGCTGCTCGTAGTCTCGTGGCGACCTGACCCGTTCCAGCAGGCATGGCTTGCTTTCTTTCGGGCTGGTTTTGAGCAGTGACCTCTTGCGATACAAGACGTCATGTTCTTAACTTCAACACCAAATGACCAAACGGCTGTAATGTGCCGTCCTCTTAAATATCTATCGGATCATTCTGGCCGTGGTATTGGATCCTGACTGCTGCAGGCCTGGGACATCTTCCGCGGCTTTGACGGGCTGTGAGAGCTCGGTAGAGAGCTGGCTTTAAGCCCAAGGCGGCGCGGTTGTGAGCAAAGAAGCGAAGATAGCTCCACACAAGTCACAAAGTCCGTTCTCCCCTTCTCTCCCCTTCTCTCCGTGTGTATGTGTATCCGTTTGTGTATGACTGTATGAGTGAATATGTTCTGTGAGTGTATCCACACTTCGAAAAGTATCCTAGGCATGCGACACTGACGCGATAAGCCCGATAAACCCTGAACAGCCGGGAAGCCCGGCTAACCCGTATAACCATGACACGACCCCAGCACAGCTCCATGTTTGAGGAGTCATGCATGCTCCCGATTAGCCCCGTGGTTGAAAGGGGGTCCTTTTCTGAAATTTCGGTGCTCAATGTCCATTCTCGCATGCTACAACCCGAAGTTTTCATGATGTGATTGCGCAGGGATTCTGCACGATAGCCCTATCAAAGAAGGTTTGGGGTTCCGTCGGTAGGGTTTAGGGGTCGTTATGGGACTGGCAGACTGTCAGCAAGAGTTTAGTTCGGTGGGTGTGAAATTTGTAGAGGTAGAGTCACGGACCCGAAGGAAGCATAGCTTCTGCAGCTACAGTGGCCAGCCTCTGCTAAGGAACACGACTCTCTCAGCAAGCCGATGTATTCGCGGAGCCCTTCTTTGCCTAAACCGATTATGTTTATGTCTGCATCACCACAAACTCCAACTGTCCGACTCTGACATTTTGAATGCCTCACCCGCCCGAAGACTATCTCCGTTGGCACAGGCATGTGCAATGGAGCACGGTCGAGTGGAAGAATCAAGCCTGCATTTGACCAAATCCTAACACCCTGGTATCACACATATCCCGGAAATCTTAACTGTACTCAGGCCTTACCAAGTTTGAACGACGAGCCCCCTCGCCACCTGCAAGCCCGAAGCAAGACTTCAAAGTTGGGGTCTGAGCTAAAGCGTCTACAGGATGCCTCTGCCCATGGGCATGTTGAGAAGTACT